TCCTTGAATCCTCACATGTTGGTATCAACCTTCCAAGTGCTGAATGTTCATGACTATCCATATGGGTTTCAAAGAGAGGAAGAAGATGGTTTGAATTTCTATGGAGGTGAGTTCCATCTCTAGTCTTCTAGGATAGTCAAAAGGGTAGTTCTATGGCTAGAATCTAAGTATTAAGAGAAACAAAGGTCTCACCAAAATTGAGACATGCACAAACAAGCGTGCATTCAAGCAATTAGCAATGTCACACAAGCAATGCAAAAGCACGTGCAAAAAATGCGACATGAAAATGTGGTTGACCAATTGACCCGTGGATAGACCGTTTCGGCTGACCTGAGCGAAATGATTAGTTGATCATGCCAGGATGGTCGATCGAACCAAAGCGATCAATCGATTGGGCCAGGACAGCTGATCAAAACAAAGTGATCATACGATTGAAATAAGAAATGCAAAATTTTGCATGCAAAACATGATGAAATACAAGGAAAAAAATACAAACTAACATTTATGATAACAAATAAAGCTTGCCCTAACGATCTCACATAGGATCTACGATTTGATGAAGTTTTAGTTACCATCTGTTACAGAATGTAATAGAGGGCATACCTCTAATTGCCTAACAAAACGTGATTGAAGTTTTCCACGAAAAGGAAACGTTCACAAAATGAAGGTTGTCCCGCACAGACATAGCCTCTGCGAACTAGAAAATGACGATCAAAGGATTTCATCATTATCTAGATCAATGTGGCTTCAACCTAATCATCAAGGGATGAAGCCACTAAAAAAATGGGGTTACCAAGTTCCCCATTGATTAGGACTATGTGCTAAAGATTGGAAGGGAAATCTCAAGGATTCACAGAGCGTAATCAATAGAAACGACTCCCTAACTTATTGGTCTCCTCTAACATAGAATCCTAGACTTAATTTTCTAACATTAGTCCAAAAAAAGGCATACTAAGAATGAAATTGCAAAATTTTGAGGATTATTTCTCGGCAGTTTGGAGATGTGTTCTCTGGGCTTGCTTCAAGTTCTGAACTTGCACTGGTGAAGATTTTTTTGCTTCTTTTTCAAAGGTGGAAGATGCTTTCCACTACAAGAAAAGTACAAAGCACCAAACAAATTCTTCACGTAACTCTGTATTTCTGTATAAAATGAGGAAGCCAATGAAGGAAAGGTGAGGAGGAAGAAAAAGATGAAGAAAAAGAGAAAGAAGAACAAGAAATTTGAAGAACCCTTCCTCTTCTCTTAAGAACTCTCGAAAAATCTCCCCTGAGCTCTTAGTGAGTTCAATTAAAAAATGAGCTCCCCTTAGCATGATGCCAGTCGCTTCTTCCATCCAAGCCATCTATTTTGCAATGTCTAGAAGGATAATGGTCGCCGACTGCTTCTCAAATGGGTTTTCATCCCAAAATGGCAATTTCCTCTTTCATCCTTTAGTCACTTCCCCAAATGACAATATGGCCAAGTAAAAAACCCTTATTGAATGGTTTAAGGATGGTTAATGATGGATTTCCGGAGGACTAGCCGTGCGAAACTCACGAACTAGGTAAATTGGCGTGGTCACGGTCAAGATTTAGTGTAAGTACGTTTAACTCTCTTTCTGGCCGGTGTGGGCACGCCGCCCTCGAGCGCGGGGCGTGGTCAAGCCTAACACTATAATGTTGGGTTGGTTTTTCTTGCGTTTCGGGAGCGTTAAAAGGCTAGGTACGAGCGGGATATGATCCTTAAACATTCATATGAATCATAGATGTATGACAGGAGCTCCATAGATGTCCCAGGAGCTCACGGAGATGACTCACACGTATGACACCAAAAATTGGTGCCAACGTATGCTAAATAAAAAATATATAAAAAAACATGTTTCTTGAAAGCATTTAATCGTAAAAATATTTCAGTGTTTCTTTCAAATTGATGCTAAGTTGAACATAATATTGGTGGCACTGTTTAAGCCTCTCATTGCTGAGCGAGTTACAGTTCTTTAACAAGGGGTAGCTTCCAATACGAACACATCACCACTTATTTTGATAACAAAATATTATTTTATAAGATGATTTTGATAAATATCACTCAATATTTTTTCTATATTTACATATATAATATTTATAATTTAATCCTGCCACTTCAATTATGCTCCAAAAAAGTTATTTCATTATTTAAAGCTTCTGTGATGCCATCGTGGTCCGTGTTTCACATGTTTATAAAAGGTTGTTGAATGTAGCTTTCAGGAGCTAAATTTGATTGATGGACTCCAAATTCGTTTCTTTTTGCATATTTTTGTTCCAATGACCAAAATTCATTGTACCTGCAACAAAACATCAAAAATACCTTTCTTTAAAGTGCAATATCATCAAAAACAGTATAAAATAGGTATGAAAATCTCAACATATTTTCCTTTTGTCACTCCCTAACTTATTGTTCTCCTCTAACATAAAATCCTAGACTTAATTTTCTAACATTAGGCCAAAAAAGGCATACTAAAAATGAAATTGCAAAATTTTGAGGATTATTTCTCGGCAGTTTGGAGATGTGTTCTTTGGGCTTGCTTTATGTTCTAAACTTGCACTGGTGAAGATTGTTTTGCTTCTTCTTCAAAGGTGGAAGATGTTTTCCACTACAAGAAAAGTACAAAGCACCAAACAAATTCTTCACGTAACTCTGTATTTCTGTATAAAATGAGGAAGCCAATGAAGGAAAGGTGAGGAGGAAGAAAAAGATGAAGAAAAAGAGAAAGAAGAACAAGAAATTTGAAGAACCCTTCCTCTTCTCTTAAGAACTCTCGAAAAATCTCCCCTGAGCTCTTAGTGAGTTCACTTAAAAAATGAGCTCCCATTCGCATGATTCCAGGCGCATCTTCTATCCAAGCCATCTATTTTGCAATGTCTAGAAGGTAATGGTCGCCGACTGCTTCTCAACTGGGTTTTCATCCCAAAATGGCAATTTCCTCTTTCATCCTTTAGTCACTTCCCCAAATGACAATATGGCCAAGTAAAAAACCCTTATTGAATGGTTTAAGGATGGTTAATGATGGATTTCCGGAGGACTAGCCGTGCGAAACTCACGAACTAGGTAAATTGGCGTGGTCACGGTCAAGATTTAGTGTAAGTACGTTTAACTCTCTTTCTGGCCGGTGTGGGCACGCCGCCCTCGAGCGCGGGGCGTGGTCAAGCCTAACACTATAATGTTGGGTTGGTTTTTCTTGCGTTTCGGGAGCGTTAAAAGGCTAGGTACGAGCGGGATATGATCCTTAAACATTCATATGAATCATAGATGTATGACAGGAGCTCACGGAGATGACTCACGTGTAAGACACCAAAAATTGGTGCCACCTTATGCTAAATAAAAAAAAAATATAAAAAAACATGTTTTTTGAATGCATTTAATCATAAAAATATTTCAGTGTTTCTTTCAAATTGATGCTAAGTTGAACATAATATTGGTGGCACTGTTTAAGCCTCTCATTGCTGGGCGAGTTACAGTTCTTTAACAAGGGGTAGCTTCCAATACGAACACATCACCACTTATTTTGATAACAAAATATTATTTTATAAGATGATTTTGATAAATATCACTCAATATTTTTTCTATATTTACATATATAATATTTATAATTTAATCCTGCCACTTCAATTATGCTCCAAAAAAGTTATTTCATTATTTAAAGCTTCTGTGATGCCATCGTGGTCCGTGTTTCACATGTTTATAAAAGGTTGTTGAATGTAGCTTTCAGGAGCTAAATTTGATTGATGGAGTGATTGATTGCGCTCTCCGGGACCCAGTTTGGTTGGTTTGAGTGAGGTGGACCCAAAAAACAAAAAAAACAAAAAATGATAAAATTGGAATTTCGGTGGTTGATTTGTAAGTAATAAATTAGTAGTTACATACATAAATATAATAATTTTAGGTGGTAAGCGAGTTCCCAATTGGCACTCTTTTTTTCAAGAAAATATTAAGTTTGAAGTTCAGATATAGTCCGGATGTCGAGTATAAGATGGTTGTATTGGAAGTTTTTCTTCTAACATATTGTGCGAAGTAAAAAACATCCAAATAAATAATTTCATAGGAAAGTCATAGAGTACATGGTTGTAATGAAGAAAAATTTTGGTACAACTACGTTGTACTCCATGATAGGAATGAACCTCAAACTTCTTTGCTTTTTAGATGAGAACGTGGGTCACATTTAAATATGAGGTAATATTTTCTCCTGCTTTTCAGACTTCTGTTGGCAACAAATTTATTATAAATAGCTGATCTAAAGAAAATTATAGCTTCCACCGCCATATTCACTTTTCTCTTCCTCTACTTAAATTTCCATGAGAAATATAGAGTTCTGTAATGGAGATTCAGCTATCTTCCCAGCTCGGACTTGAGGAAGTTGAACTCCAATCTGTTGATTATCATAAGTATTTGGGAACTTTTTCACAAAAAATCCCCCCGTCTCACCAAAAAAGCTGGTAATGTAATTACGAACTTCCAAAAAAGTTATTCCATTATTTAAAGCTTCTGTGATGCCATCGTGGTCCGTGTTTCACGACAAGTTTATAAATGGTTTATAACTGGTTGTTGAATGTAGCTTTCGGGAGCTAAATTTGATTGATTGATTGTGCTCTCCCGGACCTAATTTGGTCGGTTTGATTGAGGTGGACCCAAAAAACAGAAAAAAACAAAAGATAAAGTTGAATTTTCGGTGGTTTGGTTTGTAAGTAATAAATTAGTAGTTACATAAATAAATATAATTATTTTAGGTGGTAAGCAAGTTCCCAATTGACACTCTCCATCTCATTTCTTCTAAAATATTGTACTAAATAAAAAATATTCAAATAAATAATTTCATAGGAAAGCCATAGAGTACAAGGTTGTAATGAAGAAAAACTTTTGTACAACTACGTTGTACTCCATGATAGGAATGGACCTCAAACCTCTTTATTTTTTAGGCGAGAACATGGGTCACATTTAAATATGAGTTAACTTGTAACGTAATATTTTCTCCAGCTTTTTAGACTTCTGTCGGCAACAAATTTATTATAAATAGCTGATCTAAAGCAAATTATAGCTTCCACCGCCATATTCACTTCTCTTTTCCTCTACTTAAATTTCCATAAGAAATTCTGTAATGGAGATTCAGCCATCTTCCCAGCTCGGACTTGAGGAAGTTGAACGCCAATCTGTTGATTATCATCCAAGTATTTGGGAAGACTTTTTCATAAAAAATCCCCCCGTCTCACAAGAAAAGCTGGTAATGGTATTACGAACTTCTAAATTCCTTGATATTTGACATGTAAATCACTAGTAAATCCACCAACTTTCATAGGATGAATAATTTGTCTTTTATGAAACATATTTATTTACTTTTTTATTTTTTTATTTTTATGAAATATGTTTATTATATGAAATGAACTCAATGTTTTGATATTAAGAGAGATGTAATATGCTATTTCAGATCAAATCAATTATAAAATGAGTTAATATTCCAACTCAACTACATCCATGAATCTTTATTTTTTTTCATTCTGTATCAAATGTTTATGAAATTTTCATCAAATTTTAGCCAATCAAACATTGCATTATAAATGCTATTCAAAATATATATTGTATTTTTATTTTCGTTAGCATAATTATAAACTGGATGATACATCTAGAAAAATTCAAAATGCAAAATGCAGAATGCACCGTACGATTAGAATTGGACGGTGAATTAGGAATCTTTTGGTTGGTCAGTATACAAAAGAGTTGGTAATGCTTTCATATAAGATTTACTTTTTACCTTCTAAATTTTTTCTGATTAATGAATTCACAAATAATGAGTAGTTATATGATGTTATGAAGCAATCCTTTTCTTCTTAATTTATTTATTTTAATTGACAAATGTGTTCGGTATTTATTTATTTTTATAAGATTTCAAGAAAATTTGCTCGTCAGTTGCATATTATTTATATATTACAAATTAAATTTTCGCGTGAGTTACATATTATTTATTTATTATAAATAGTTCATACAATTTTTTATGACTTGAAATTTATTAATAGCAGATATTTGAAAAGCAAGTTATTAACATGAGAAGTCAGGCAGTCAGTTAAATACAATTAAATAAAATATTAAGGAAAGCTACGTTTGAGCATATGTGTGAATGTTGGACTTAAGCTAAAGACGGGGAAGCGAATTCTAGCTGAACATGCCACCAGCTTTAAAAAACAATTCCAGTCAGAGAAGATGTTGAGTTACTGTCTCAAAATTAAAATTGGCCTGTTTACAGCGTGCTTTTTTAAGCGAGCTTCAACAGAAAATTGCATGAAGGACGATGGCGGGCAACAATATGTGAAAATATATATTATCTATTTGTCATTCGTATATTATCTAAAGAGTTGACTTAAAAATGTATATTTTGATTTTATTGATAACAACTTTCATAATTCTATATAATTTTTCTTTCAGTAAATTAGAAATGATATTGGGCTATGGTATATAAATACAAATAAGTAAATGGAAACACACTTTATCTTCAAAAATTGATTTTAGAATGGATCTCTTAAAATTATATATTTAGAGCCCATCCAACCTTTCTCTAGAACTGATTTCAAGGGGTAAGAACAATAACCAGCACTTTACAACAACAACAACAACAACAAAGCCTTAATCCCACTACGTGGGGTCGGCTACATGAATCCTTTTTCTCATTGTGTAAGTAAATAACCAGCACTTTATCCTCGATTAATTTGTATCACTTTTCAAATCTGTTTTGAAGCAAATCCTTTTTATTTGATTATTTTGAAGGCATTTGTAAAGCTTCGAAATGATGAGCTGAAGACCGAGGTAAGGAAAATGCTCGTGGATGCCACTGATACCTTGCAATCGCTCGAGCTAATTGACAGAATCCAACGTCTCGGAGTAGCATATCATTTTGAAAAAGAAATCAACGAACAATTACTCAGAATTCATAATACATACTTTGACAGCAATGATTTATACGCAGTAGCTCTCCACTTTCGAATTTTGAGGCAGCAAAGATACTACATATCCTGTGGTAAGCCTCATTTTTATTCATACGTTAAAATCTTACCTTATTCCCAAATGTGGGTTACAATTACTAAATTTTACATGAAATAAGATGATATTTTTCATCGGTGCAGATGTGTTTGAAAAGTTTTGTGAGGAGAAAGGAGAATTCAGGTGTTCACTTAGCTCCAATGTAAATGCCTTACTAAGCTTATATGAGGCAGCTTATCTTTCTTTGCCCGGTGAAGAAATATTGGATAAAGCAAAAATATTCTCAAAACCTTTACTCAAAACATCTTTATGCAATTTGGAAAAGCATTTGGCAATGATGGTTTCAGCGGCTTTGGATGTGCCATTGGTCAGAAGAGTAGATCGGCCAAGGACCAAGCTTTACTTGTCAATCTATAAAAACGATAGCTTGTTCAATAAACTGTTGCTCGATTTCGCTAAATTGGACTTCTTTATATTGCAAACTCTCTATCAAGAGGAAGTTAGGAGTTTATCCATGTAAGTTTTTGTATACCACATCAACATTCAAATAGGAAGCTACTAATGCCGAAGCGGAAGCGTTAAGTATGTTGTTAAACTATATTGACTTGAAAGAACAAATGGCGCACTTGCTTTGTCTTATGGGTTTTATAATTTCCATTTTACGATTTGAATATCTTGTGGACCTGCAGATGGTGGAAAGATTTAGGTTTGGCGAAGTGTTTTCCATTCTCACGGGATAGAATAGTAGAGTTATCGTTTTGGTTAATTTCGGTGCACCATGAGCCATTCTTATCACGTGTAAGAAACATGCTGACAAAGTTGCTGGCACTACTTTCTCTTACGGATGATATTTATGATAATTATGGGACCGTTGAAGAGCTTGAGCTTTTTACCAATGTAATCAAGAGGTATAGTGGAATATGAAATTCTCTTTCATTAAACATTCACCATTTTGATTAAATTACAGGAGTTAATTCGTTGTGCAGTTTATTTAATCTTGATTGCAAATCTTATTGCAGTTGGGAAATTGAAGCTGTTAGCATGTTGCCCAAATACATGCAACCATGCTTCCTAGCATTTCACAAAACCATCAATGAATTTGAAAGAGAGCTAGAACAAGAGCAATATTCCTTTCGGGTACAATACCTTATAGAAGAGGTAACAATTTTATGAAAACTTCATTGAAGTTATTTGCTACAAATTCTTAGTAATTGAAGGTTTTAATGTCAGATTAAAAAGATGGCTCAAGCATATTATGAAGAAGCTAAGTGGTCTAGTGAATTATATGTGCCCAAACTAAAAGATCAACTAAAGGCTTCCCTTGCTACAGCTGGGCATTCTGTTATCTCATGTGCATCATATATGGCCATGAGAGAGGACATTCCAGAGAATTTGTTTGAATGGGTAACAAGTATGCCTGCAATAATGACATCTAGTTCTTTGATTGGTAGAGTTATGAATGACCTTGCCTCATGTGAGGTAACCTATTAAGTCAACCCATCTCTCTCTCTCTCTCTCTCTTTCTCTCTCTCTCTCTCTCTTTCTTTATATATTTATATATATGAAGGTTGATTGATCATAACATGGATTTTAATATATTTTTTCAATATATCAGTTTGACCAAAGTAAGGGACAAGTTGCTTCAACTGTCCAATGTTATATGGTTGAGCACAAAAGCTCCAAGGAAGAAGCACGCATGAAGCTTATGGAGATGGTAGAGGAAGGATGGAAAATAATAAATAGAGAGTTCATGTTTTCAACCATTTCAATAGCTTTAATTCAAACAATCATAAACATTACTAACTTTAATGTGTTGGTTTACAAAGATAAAGACCATTATACCAACTCTAACACGATTATGAAAGATTATATCATGGACGTGCTGGTTGAGACAGTTGAGTTAGATTTATAGGCTACACATAACATCTTTTATTATTCTTTAGAAATCCCTCGAGCATTTTACTTTTCAGTGCAAGGACAGTTCAATGTTATTTAGAGTTGAAGTATGTAATATGTTTAGCCTTTGATAGTAATTGTTAAGCCCTATTGATGATTTTTATTGTCTCATTTGCCAAGAAATTTGTATGAAAGCTAGCTTTTACATTTTTGGTTATTCTTCCTCCATGAGTGATATATCACATCACGGATTCACCTTAATAGGATAAATAATTTCGGTACACGTTTTTCTTGTATGATAGAAAGCTTATAAATTGAGTGTGAGTAACTAAAATGCCAACTAATTAGTTGGAAGAAATAAAAGAGTTTTTTTTTTTTTTACGTTTTGTTTTTGCAGAAATCCTAGTTTTGAATTATGCCTATATATAAATTGTGTTGTGTAGCAATGATTCCTATGAAGAAGAAGAATCTATGATGTATATTGTAAATAATTGATTAAATAGAAAAAAATAAATTTCTTATATGGAAATCCTTCCAGAAAAACTTTCAAAAACTTCCTTATCTTTGTACGTAGCGCATTGTGGCTTAAACTTGTTAAGGAATGAAAATTTATAAATGTAAAAATTATTAGGTGTATCTATCACACATAATGATAATGATTTCATTGGATATTCATATTATTTTTATAAAATTCTATCCACAACAACAACCAACCGTTTTCTCTTTGTGTTGGGTAGGCTACATGAATCATTTTTCTTCTTTGTGGATTATTGAGTGTACTATTTTTATTTAATTCTAAAATAATTATTTCTATAAAACATGCCCAATTATTTTAAGTTCAAATTCTACCTTTTTTAACATAAGTCGAATCTAAAACATCTACTCTCCTTATCGGACCATTAGATGGTTGACTTTTAATGTGATCAAGCCATCTAAGATGACGCCAAATCATATTTGCCATTGAGTTGTGCCAACCCTTTCATGGATATATTATTTTCACATTTACCCTTAAGTGTAAAGCCACTCATCCACCTAAGCCTTCTCATCTCAACAACACTTAGTTTTATGCTTCTTTTTTATACACCAACATTCTGCTCCATAGAACATTACAGGTTTCACTACCAACTTATAACATTTTTCTTTAAGTCTAAGCAGTATATTTCTATCACACAATAAGCCTGAAACAGATACATTCCTCCACTTCAGCCATCCAAATTGAATTCTACTAGCATCATCCCCATCTATTTTACCATAACTTTGAACAATAAACCTGAGATTTCTAAAACAGTGACTCCTTTTACCTTTTAAATCTTTGATCATCTATTGTTAAAACTTCACTACTAGATCTACTACTAAAAAATTCATACATCAATGTACATTTTTCTGTAAGTACTTATAAAGACCATTCATAACTAAGGAAAAAAGATGTGGGAGTAAAGTCAATCCTTGATGTAATCCAATTGAAATATGAAAATACATTGTTAATCATTTCTTCTATTTAATAACAAGTAATGGCTCTAGTATACATATGTTAATGAATCGAGTATAAGTTATATCAACACTTTTACTTTCTAGAACTCTCTGAAAATGATAGTAATTTAACCAATATTGTATCGTCATATTTTTTCGGTTATTACCGAATAATTCATCAGTTACAACATTTTTTATGGTTAGCTGATTGTTTATAGATTGTAGCAAAAATGTTTGCCAGTAATTTTAAAACCGACGATCATTTCAATGACTTTTATTTTGGAAAGGTTTTCGACCAATTTAGATCATCATTTTTAAATAGCTCAATAAACATGTGCCAGTCGTTGGCTATTTTTAACTTCTGATTATCGATGGGCTAACCATCAAAAATAAAAGATGGTTAATCAATCAGTTAAGTGCAGCAGTCATCATTATTCAGACACAGTAGAATCCGTCAGTTATTGTTGGTGTTCGTCAGTAAATTAATTGACATGTGGTTCGTAAGTTATATGTCTGTTTATATCAAAGTTAGACCATCAGTTTCTCATCAGCAAGGCAATGACAATATAATCGATGGTTTAATACATTAGAGTTCAAGAAAACTGCTCAATGTATCATCAGGAAACCGACAGTAAGCCATCAATAACTTGTAGCATAAGAAATATAAACTTCCTCTTCGATTGTTACAATTTCTATTCTTGAAATTGATGCACATAAAAAATGCAACAACGACAACACATTTTAACCAATCCAAACATTTGACAGAGTAAAATTGCAATAGTAAATTTTACAATTGGATAAAAAAACTAAATAAAATGCATTTAAGTAAACACATATTCATAAGTGTTCAATAAGAGAATATCACAAAAATTTTTTAAAAAAAAATATACAAATGTAAAAAAGACCCCACTAATCGTCCTCATCCTTCATTATCATAGCCTTCCTCATCCAATTATTGCTTCCTCCGTTGCTTTGCCTAATGTTGAAACACATTTAACTCCACTTTCATCTTTGCCTCCGAAGTTGCATCCAACCCGGACCTCATCTGATCGATTCGGGCCTCCATAATGGCCTCCATCTCCGACCTCATCCACTCATCATCATGGTCCTCCTCATCCAATTGGTGCTTCCTCTGATGTTTCAACTAACTTAGGAATGCATCCAAATCCACCTTCAACTTGGCCTCTATAGTGGCCTCTACCTCTGATCTCATCTGATTAAAGCATGGCTCCATCTCGATAATGAAAGCGATAAAATGCTTAGAACCTCCTTATTTTATGAGGTAGAAGTAGATGTCGTAGATGCACTGATGGAGGGTCGAGTGTCGTAGGTGAATGTTTGAGACCTTAGACCGTACTCTCCCTTTCTTCCTTTCGATAGCCTCCCTCCACATCATTTTCAGATCCACACGATGTCAGATATTAAAAATACCCGAAGCCTAGGATAAGTTCACTTTTAGCTGCTAGAATTTTTCTTACAAAAAAAACACATAAATAAACTTATAGTGTGAATAAACAAAAAAAATTATTTTTCTCGTGAATTATCATTGTCGCCTGGGATTTGTCTTCAATTCACGACTGGTCCTTCTACCTTTTATGTGTGTGCCCATGTACATCGACAGCAAAGGGCTCTCGTCACAACTCCATTGTCTGTTAATGTAATTAAATTATTGGAATATATATTTTATTTATAGTGAAATTATAGTAGAAATAAAATCTTACCAATCTCCACTTGTATTTTGTGTGTGGGAATGCCCGCCATTGTATTTGTAGGCTCCCATGCCTCCTCAGTCTGAGCGCCTATTCTGCTTTGCTTGCTCCCGCTTCTTTTCATATTCCAAAGAATCTCAGGCCTTGAGTAGTGAGGCAAAAATATCCTCTCCGAGCCACAAAAGACACTGTCTAAATTTTTTATTATCACCGAACAAGTTTCGTAGGTAGTCGTTTCACTTGCCCTCAAAGTTGCACTAGATGTATGCTTCATGCTCAGGGCACCATAAGAACTTTTTTTTATAAAATTACAGGGATTATATTAGATTGATAAATATAAAAATATAACTTAAAATTATTTTGAATAATATATACTATAAAATCCTGAAACCAAATATCCTAAATTGTCACTGGGCTCTCCTTCCAAAACAAGTATGCTGAGTTGTACTTACTCTAGATGATATCCTTAATTGTGCAAATAACCTGTAGTGGTAGGTAGAACTTGAAAACAGAAACTAGTTAGTTATCTTTTAAATTAAAATATAAAATGAAAGGATTAATATCATTATCTCAAAAAAAACTTGTGTGCTCTTGGAAGGCTCAATTTGATAACTACTACTGGTTGATTCCTATCTAATAGATGCAGCTTTGGCCTCTGCTAAACTCATACCATTATAGACAGGGTGGGTATGGGGGTAGGAGTAGGGTTGGGGGTAGGGGTTGGGTA